CAATATCTAGGAGAAAAACAACTGTCTAAATCAGAGCTCTTCAACAGGGGGTCTGCGACCCCTAGGGGCTCCACAGAGGTACTGCAGGGGGGTTACGAAGGTTTTTTTTCCCCCACTAATTGAAATGTGTTTAAATCCACATTAACATGAATTCAACAGACTGTAGTAAACAGATAAATGGAGGCAGAAGATGTCTTCCAGTCATCAATGCTCACATTCAGCGACACACAGGAGCTCTTTTAAGCTGGACACCGTTTCATTCACAACACCTGTCCCATCAACCAGGAATCAGAAATACTTTATTACAGATGGCGTAGTGTAACTAAAGTAATTTGGCCCTGGGATTATTAAAGTGACTATAGGACCAGTTTGATAAAACACTATTGCATACAGTATATATATAATTAGGGGGTCCCCGCTCCATCTTACCATCAGTTTGGGAAGACCCCTGATCTAAATGTTTAAAATTCTCTGATTTTTTTCCCTTATAGTAACTTCATCTTTTCTGGTCCTACAGTCCTTAGCTTTGCTATGTGTACAGATCTGTGCAGAGTGAAGTGAGGGGTGATTCTAGGATGGGAGGTTTAGGGGTGCTGAGCACCCACAGAGCTGTCTGGCTATGCATGATTAATTTCACTGTTTTCTATATAAATTTTCTACATTTTTGAAACTTGCTAATTACCGATTCCATCATTAACTAATGCTTCATTTCTGTGACTTTAGCCAAAGACCCGAGAAGCGAAGCAGAAAGCAGCATTTTTAGAAGAATATTCCAAACATGTAAAGCTTTTGAACCATTGTTAATTAACGGCTCTTTGTTAGCCACACTGAGTGGGAACTAGAACAGCTTTGACTGAATAAGAGCAGTGGTCTAAAGACAGATCGATGTCCTTTGGTTTGGTGGCGCTCTGTGTGTTTCCTCTCTCTACTTCTCCTCCTTGTATTGTGAAATAAAGCCAGTAGTAACGCATGCATAGAACTAGGAAAAGCTAAACATAGATCTTGTTTAAACAGAAGTCCCCTGATCTGTTAAGCGAATATGTGCTTCTGGAAAGCATATAACATGGAACTATTCCATAACTTTGATATTATAGACATAAACTGAATGGACGTTTTTTTCCTTGTCAGCTTAATTACTGCTGATTGAGTTGCAACCATCCGTTTATTTTCTTCCTACATGTTTTTCCTGACATTGCACACACCTTGCTCCTCTCCTTCCCCTAGCACACCGGCAATCAAAAAATTTATTGTTTTTAACTAGATGAATATATGCAGCTGTACTTGATCTAGACTGGAGACGTGGAAACTGTGAAGCCGTCTATGAGAAGTACAGAGCAGATTGTACTTCTTAAGGAAGCTTAGGTCCTTCAGTGTTTGCAGCCAGATGCTTCAGATCCTCTATCAGTCTGTTGTAGAGAGTCTGGTCTCTTTCCTCCATCATCTGCTGGGGTAGCAGATTCAGAACAATTGGCTTAAAAAGCTCAACAATAAAAAAGGCTGGCTCTGCCCAACAGCAGCAACTAATAACAATGGACCGACAGGGAAGTGATCATCCGTCTAAACGGTCAGTTAACTGAGTTCACTAATATAAGCTTGTATGAGCTATGGGAACAGCAACTTTTAAACAGAGCGTGCACGAGGAGAAGTGGGCTCATGCACGCTCTTGCAGGCATTTCACAGGCGTTCCCTCTCTGGAGCGGGTACAGGGTGGTGCATGTGCATTTTCTTCTTTCTTCAACGGAGAGGATGGGTCTTTAAAAAAAAAAAAAACTAAAATCATCCACAATATCTTTTAGTAGAAATTTAGGCCGTCTATACTTAACGGGCGTAATTATTTGTTATGCAACTTTTTACTTCTAATCCTTACATTATTTTTGCAGCTATAACTACTTTCTACTCTTTACCGTTTTTCATTTCAATTAAATCAATTTATTGGTGGTTGGACTCGGTGCTGTTCCAACTTGTTGTTTGCCACAAACCAAAATAAAGATAAAAGATAAAGAAGATGCAAATTTAACACTGTTATTAGTTACAAGAAGAAGAAAATTGATTAAGGAAGTTATCATTAATAATTGTAGAAAAATGTTCCTTCAATAGGGTAGAGCAGTAAAGCTTCTGGCCTTAATATTTTTTCCTGCATTACTTTTATACTTTAGTTTTAAAAATGGTACTTTCACACTTACTGGAGTAAAAAGCTGAAATTGATCCTCTAGCTTCTAAAAAAGTGTTTTTTAACACTTTATACTTCTACTTGAGTAATAAACATAAATACTCCGATACCGCTGCTCAAACGATGCCTTTCAAATAAACAACCCAGAACTTAGCCTGTCGGTTCGCTAGACTTAAACACGCTGGGGAAAAATAAGCGTTTAAACCCATGGGATCAAATTCCATACTTTTATAGACTTATAGTATTAAATTTAAATGTGGAAATGTAATACATTTAAGACATTGTGTCAGATCCTAAGTTGCTTCCAAAGTAAAAGTATTGCAATACATGAGACATCTTTGCATAATGTTGCTCCCTGATTTACAGCATCTGTAAAGCTTGATGATGCATAAAACTGCATCTTATGATGAATTCCTGATCATTTCCAATGTTCTAAAAATAGCTTTATCAGCGATGGATGCTGATACCAAGTATCTGATCCAGACATCCCAACCTTAATGGATGTGATGTGCTATAATCCACCTGCAGCTTTGCTTTGTTCTTGTCCAGGTCTGCGTTTTTCTATGCAGATGTTTTTTCAATTGTATATTTCAAAGATACATTTCTACACCTTCACCTGACGAGCTTCCCATTCTCAACACTACAGTCAACATAGAACATATCGCACCCTTAACCCTTTATAGGGCACTCGGAGAAAGACTTTGAAAATCAACATTTCAAGCAAATAATATTATTGGAATCCAGGACAAGGCGTCATACACGCTCTGCTTTGTTTTTAAAAGATATAAATATAAAAAATATAACCGCGGATGTCTGGGGGGCAGTGATTGGCCTACATGTTATGAATGCTGGCGTACCATAAAGAATGAATTATAAACAGTTTAATTTGTGCCTTTAACTCGTTGCCCATAGGAAGATGTTACACGAACATAACCTAACGGAATATCTTCAGAACGGCTCCAAATGACACTAAACTCATATGGGTGAGTAGAACATGATGTAATAACATAAAATCAAGGGCCCAATGTAAAAAAAAGAAAAAAAGACGTTCCCCTTTAAGTGGGATACACCACACTTAAAAATGTGCACACATGCAAATCCGAGGTCAGAGACTCTCCCTCCACAGTCTCCTAAAATCCTGTGGGAAATTGATTTGTTAACTTTTTTCAACTTAATTTACAGTAGGTAATATATCGTTCAAGGGCTAATCTAATCTAACCTGACAACAGCCAGATGCATGTCTCACTCCGCCTAGCTCCGCTCACATACATCTGGGAACCCGCCAT